TACTTAGTGGTGGGTACATTTCATTGTACACTCATCCAAATTCATAGAATGTACAACACCAAGAGTAAATCCTAAAGTGAACTATATAGATTTTGAGTAATAATGATTTGTCACTGGGAGTTTACTTATTGTAGCACTGTACTATGGTGCAGGATGTTGATCTGGAAAAGGCTATGTGTAAATCTGGGTGTGAGTATATTGGAACTCTTATTTTGAGTTCAGTTTTGCTGTGAAACTAAAACTACTCTAAAAAATAAAGTCTGTTAAAGAATAAGTTCTAAAAATATGTGTAAAGATTTAAAGGAAAAAATAAGAATACAATGATGATAGTAATGAAAGCTATATATAGGACCAAATGGAACTTCTAGAGATGAAATACAATACTTAGTACTTGAAATGAAAAAGTTTACTGCTTGGGTTTGACAGAATACTAAAAGACAAGCAAGAGGAACATTCCAAATTAAAGTACAGAAACAAGTTTAAAAAAATAGAACTTCAGCGACCTGTGTCCCAGAGTCATGTGGTTTAATATATATGTAATTAGAATTGTAGTAGTAGAGTAAAGAGGAAGAACAGGAAAATATTTGAAGGAAGAATTGCTAGAAATTTTGTATATTTGAAAAAACTTTAAATCAATAATTATAAGAAGCTCAATGAAACTCAAGCAAGATAAACACAATGAAAAGCACACTGAGGCATCTTATAAGTACTATGTTTAAAAAAAAACTTAAAAGTTGCCAGAAAAAAATGCATTCCATACAGGGGAGAAATTAATAATGCCCTTATTTCTGTATCAGAAGCCAGAAAGCAATGCAATGATATTTGTACTGTGCTAAAAATTCTATATCTAGAGAAAATATCCTTCAAAAATCAAGGTGAAATAAAAACATGTTCAGACAAACAAAAGCTGAGAGAATTCATTGTCAGCAAACCAGCATTGCACAGAAAGTTAAAGGAAGTTCTTCAGACTGATAGAAAATAATAACAGAAATTAGAATCTACAGAAAAGAATGGAGAGTGCTAGAATTTGAAAATGTGAGAAGAGTAAGAGACATTTCCCACCATTTAAAATTTCTTTAAAGATCATTAAGTCAACAATATTATTCTATGTTTTCTATGGTAAAGCAAAGGACATGGAATAACTCAACAATTTTGTAGCGGAAGAATGAAGCTGAAGGCCTTAACCCTACTATATTACAGGTGACTGACTATAAAGATACAATAATCAAGGCAGCCGTGAGATTAAGATGCTTACTCCTTGGAAGGAAAGTTATGACCAACCTAGATAGCATATTAAAAAGCAGAGACATTACTTTGCCAACAAAGGTCCGTCTGGTCAAGGCTGTGGTTTTTCCAGTGGTCATGTATGAATGTGAGAGTTGGACTGTGAAGAAAGCTGAGCGCCGAAAAATTGATGCTTTTGAACTGTGGTGTTGGAGAAGACTCTTGAGAGTCCCTTGGACTGCAAGGAGATCCAACCAGTCCATCCTAAAGGAGATCAGTCCTGGGTGTTCATTGGAAGGACTGATGCTGAAGCTGAAACTCCAATACTTTGGCCACCTCATCCGAAGAGTTGACTCATTGGAAAAGACCCTGATGCTGGGAGGGATTGGGGACAGGAGAAGAAGGGGATGACACAGGATGAGATGGCTAGATGACATCACCAACTCGATGGGCATGAGTTTGAGTAAACTGTGGGAGTTGGTGATGGCTAGGGAGGCCTGGTGTGCTGTGATTCTTGGGGTCGCAAAGAGTTGGACACGACTGAGCGACTGAACTGAACTAACTAGACATATAGATGATTGAAACAGACTAGTGAGTCCAGAAATAAACACAGACATATATGGTTAACTGATTTTTAACAAACATGTCAAGGCAATTCAATAGAGAGAAGTTGATCTTTTAAAAACAGTGCTGAAAGAACTGGATATCCTTATGGGGAGAAAAAGGAGCTTCAAACCTCACCTCCTATTAATTGTATAAATTAAGTCAGAATGGACCATAGATTTAAATGTAAAAATTAAGACTATAAAGTTTTAGGTGAAGATAAAAGAAAAATATTTGTGATTTTAGCATAAGAAAAGATCTACTTAATATACAAAAATCCCAAGTGCAGGCATGTTCATTCGTGTCCAACTCTTTGTGACCCAATGGGTGGTAGCCCACCAGACTCCTTTGTCCATGGTATTCTCCAGGCAAGAATAATAGAGTGGATTGTCATTCCCTTCTCCAGGAGATCTTTCCAACCCAGGGATCGAACCTGCATCTCCTGCATTGTCAGGCAGATTATTTACCACTGAGCCACCTGGGAAGCCCCCAAATCCCAAGGCATAAAAGAAAAAAATTAATAAGACTTTTGCAAAAGTTAAAATGTCTGCTCTTTGAATAACACTGCTAACAGTAGGAAAATGCAGGGGAAACAGGGGGGAAATGCAAGCAACAGACTAGAAGAATATGTTTGCAATATATACATCTGACTAAAGATTTAAACGACACACATTTACTTCCTCACAATTCTAGAGACAGAAAGTCCAAGATCAAGATGCCAGCAGGGTTGGTTTCCTCTGAGGCCTCTCTCTTTGGCTTGCAGATGTTCACCCTCTTGCTGCCTCTTTACGTGGCCTTTTCTCTGTGTGTGTTCATCCCTTATCTCTCTTGGTGTATCTAAATTTCCTCTTCTTATAAGGATATCAATCAATGGATTGGGACCCTCTCTAATGATCTAATTTTAATGTCATCGCCACTTCAAAGTCCTTTCTCAGAATTTTGTTACATTCTTACATACTACATTCTTAGCTCTGTGTGTCACACAATCTTGTGCAACTCTTTGCCACCCTATGGACTGCAGCCCTACAGGCTTCTCTGTCCATGGAATTTCCCAGTCACTACCAGCTTAACCAGGTGATGACTGGAGTGGGTAGCCACTCCCTTCTCCAGGGGAATCTTCCTGACTCAGGGATTGAACCTGTGTCTCCTGCATCATAGGTGGATTCTTTACCTCTGAGTCATTATGACTTCAATATATGAATTTTGGAGAGAAACAATTCATCCCATAACAGACTGTCATCTTATAAATTCTCACTTAATCTGTATAAGCAGTAAAGTTCTAGGTCAAGTGTTTCTAATTTGAAATACCAAAAAACAAAGTCACAGCCGCTTAACCTATTCCTAGACTTGAGCCAGTTTATAGAACCAGAATGTCTTGAATGAAGCAGAGACCGGGTCACTTTGAGAACGTATCACACTACTTTGTCAAGAGTGTGTACTGTTAATACTTATCCCAGCTTTCTTCATAAAGATCTATAGCATTTTATTAGAAGGACTGTTTCATGGATTACTGAACACTGGCTCTGAGTTCACACTAACTCAGGGAGACCCAAAACATCACTGGGGTCCACTAGGACTTAAAATCAGGTGATCAACAGAATTTTAGTTCAGGTTCATCTCACAATGTGTCCACCCATCATCCTGTAGTTATTTTCCCTATTCCAGAATGTATACTTGAAATAGAAATAATTAGAAACTGGCAGAATCCCCCATGTGATCCTTGGCTTGTGGAAAGTGAAAGTGAAAGTGAAGTCTCTCAGTTGTGTACGACTCTTGGTGACCCTGTGGATTGTACCCTACCAGGCTCCTCCATCCATGGGATTCTCCAGGCAACAGTAGTGGAGTGGGTTCCCATTTCCTTCTCCAGGGGATTTTCCCAACTTAGGGATTGAACCCGGGTCTCCTGCATTGCAGGCAGACGCTTTAACCTCTGAGCCACCAGGGAAGCAGTGAGAGCTAATTTGAGAGGAAAGGGTGAAGTAGAAGCCACTAGAGCTGTCTATACCTATGAAAATAGTAAACCATAGCAATGCCACCTTTCTGGAGGGATCTCAGAGATACCACCATCAAGGGCTTGAAATATGCAGGAATGTTGACTCCCATCGTTCAACTCATCTATCTGGCTTACACAGAAAACACATGACTCTTAGAGAGTAACAGTGGATTATTTTAAGCTTAACCAGGTGGTGACTCCAGTTGCAGCTAGCGTTTCAGTTCGAGTCTCATTGCCTGAGCCAACTAACACAACTTGTGGTATGTAGTGTGTAGCTGCTGATGCTTTTTCCCTTCAGTACCTGTTGGGAAAACCAAAGATATTTGCTCTCAGCAGGCCAGGTCAGCAGTACACCTTCACTGTTCTGCTTTATGTCATAATTTAGTCTGCAGCAAGCTTTCCCTTCAGCAAGACATCGCAGTGGTCCATTACACTGACGGTATGCTGATTGGACTTAGTGAACAACAAGTAAACTTACTGGCAAGACATTTGCATGTCGGAGGGTGAGATGTAAATCTGGCAAAATTTCAGGGGCCTTCCACCTCAGTGAGATTTCCAAGAGTCCGGTAGAATATGTCAAGATATACCTTCTAAGGTAAAAAAATATGTTGTTGCATCTGAGTCCTCTGCAATGAAAAAAAGAGAGAGAGAGAGAGACAGACGCATTCCTAGTGGATCTCTTTGCATTTTGTAGGCGGTGGCTTAGTCGCTAAGTTGTGTTCGACTATTTGCAACCCCATGGACTGTAGCCCACCAGACTCCTCTGTGCATGGAATTTTCTAGGCAAGAATTCTGGAGTGGGTTGCCATTCCTTCTCCAGGGCATCTCCTGACCCAGGGATTGAACCTGGGTCTCCTGCATTGTAGGTGGATTTATTACTGACTGAGCCACAAGGGAAGCCGTCTTTGCATTTTAGAGGCAACACATGCCTCATTTGGATGTTATTCTGGTTCATTTACTCAGTGATCTGAAAAGCCAATTGCTTTGAGTGGGGCTCAGAACAACAGAAGATTCTGCAGCAGGTTCAGGCAGCTGTTACAGGTGCCCTGTCCCTTGGGCCTTACGACCTAGCAGATACAGTGGTGTCTGAAGTGTCAGTGGTAGATAGAGCTGTTCTTTGGAAACTTTAGCAGATGGGTGTAGAGCACCATGATCTTCTTTTCATTTGATTTAATTTTAGAACCAGAACCTGAAGAGCCTGGAGACTTTTTAGTAGATGGAAAACTTGAAGAGGTCAAAGAAGAGGCTAAAAAGGAAGAGGAAGAAGATTTAGAAATAGATTCAGAACAATCAACAATACCAGCCAATTTGGAACGACTTTGGTCCTTTTCTTGTGACCTAACCAAAGGCCTTAATGTGAGCAGCCTTGCCTGGAATAAAGCAAATCCAGTAAGTTATCAAATGTTTTAATAATTCTGTCTGTGGCATTTAAGGGCACTTACCAAGTATAACACTAATGATTTCTTTTTCTCATCTGTTAGGCAAGGGATTTAAATTGACATAATCCCTGGTTTTAAAATTCCTCTGGAAACAAGTTTATATTTTTAAAAGGGAGAAATGCAATAGCTAGAAAACAATGTTTTTTCTTCTTTAATATGAAAATGTCACCATTTTTAAGAGATGTACTTGGAACATGGATGAATCTATGTCAGATGTTGAGAAGTGGACAAGAAAATAATATATATTTATTTAGTTTAACATATTAACCAAATTCATGCACCCAAACTTGTATTCTCTTTAAAGAAACCATATTTGGAAGTATGTACTTAATCCATGAGGTCGAAAAAGAGTCTAACACGACTTAGCGACTAAATAACAACAATAACAGCTTAATCCAGTGACCCTGTAAAAGTGCAGAATAATTTCGATATTCCTTAAGATCTAATACTACAGTGGATACTTAAACAGCACCTACTATGTACCAGGCTCTATTGTAAACGTTTTACTTGTATTATCACAAATCTATGAATAAGGCACTATTTTCCTCACTATGTTGCACTGAAGCACAGAAAGGATAACTTGCCCAAAGTTATATAACCAGTAAGCGAGACAGAATCCAAACCGAGACATCCAGATCCAGAGTTCTTGCTTCTAGTGAAAGTGAAGTGAAAGTCGCTCAGTCTTGTCCGACTCTTTGTGACCCCATGCGCTACACAGTCCATGGAATTCTCCAGGCCAGAATACTGGAGTGGGTAGCCTTTCCCTTCTCCAGGGGATCTTCCCAACCTAGGGATTGAACCCAGGTCTCCCGCATTTCAGGCAGATTCTTTACCAGCTGAGTCACAGTGAAGCCCAAGAATACTGGGGTGGGTAGCCTATCCCTTCTCCAGGGGATCTTCCTGACCCAGGAATTGAACTGGGATCTCCTGCATTGCAGGCAGATTCTTTACCAACTGAGCTATTAGGGACGCCCTTCAGTAGTACTCTTGTCTGGAGAATCCCATGGATGGAGGAGTCTGGTGGACACAGTCCATGGGGTCACAAAGAGTCAGACATGACTTCACTTTCACTTTCACTTTTAGTACTGCTCTATTAAAAATCATCTTGAGGAAAATGAGATGAATCATCAAGCTGGGGAATGGTATGTTTTCTTGTAAAAAAAGAATGATTATAATGAGAGTTATTTTTTCCTGAGATTTATAAACCGGTTCTGAAGACATGATTCTCAACTAGTGCTTCTGGATTAACTTTTTTTTTTTGGTCCTTTTTGAGAAATATTTATTTATTTTGGCCTCAGTGGGTGCTAGTTGCAGCATCTTTTTCTTGGTTGTTGTTGTTTGGCTCAGGCTGAGTTGTCCCACAACGTGTGGAATTCCAGTTCTTAACCAGGGATTGAACCCATAGACTCTGCATTGGGAAGTGGACCCCCAACCACTGGACCACCACGGAGGTCCCTGATTAATGTTTAAAGTCATCAGAACTAATTTGTTTAAACTGTATTGTTTTATGCCTGTTTTAAGAATTAGCCTTGTTTTATCGCTATACCTTATAAGGTACTATGTGCAAACATGATAGGTGTTATGGCTATTAAAAACCTACAATCAACCTGAAATTAACAAAACACTGTAGATCAACTCTACTCCAATAAAAAATTTTAAATGAAAAATAAAACTATGATCATTTTTGTAAAAACCTAAATAACACATTACTTAAATTTTGTATATTATTTTGAATAAAATAAAATACTTTTAGTGTGAATTTGTCTTTATAAAACTATATTAGGGAACATCTTGTAGATAAGTGAAATTTAATAAATTAGTAATAACTGGGTAATAAAGACAGATGAATCATTTTAAGAAACTGAATATACTCACAGCTAAAAATTAATATATTGCTGTTTAGAATAAAGTTAATTTTGAATGAAGCTAAAAATATAACAGATGGCATCCATAATATTTATTAATTAATTCTATAAATATTTGTTGAGTATTAACTCTGTGCAGAAACTCTGTTAAAGCACTGTAGATACAGTAGTAATTTAGTCACATGTAGTCTCTGGCCATACACTAGTTTCCTATGTGCTTTAATAAGGAAAAATAATACCATGGGAACACATAAGAGAGTGTTGTGAATGCTTCTTAGAGGAATTGACGTCTATTCTGAGTCTAAAAGAGATGAATAAGAGTTTGTCAATGTCAAGGGTAGTGATGAAGAGTATTTTAAGACAGAACTGTGGAGATACGATGTTGATTGGGAGGTAGGATGGTGGTAGGACTGTCTTTGTATTCTTTCTGATTACAAAGGAAAGTCTGGGTTTGTTTAATAATTAAACTTTTGTGCATATGTACTTATACAGTGGACCTTGAATAAAAGGGGGTTTGGGGTGCCAACCTTTTATGCAGTTAAAAATCTAAGTGTAACTTTTGACTACCCCAAAACTTAACTACTAATAGCCTACTGTCGACTGAAAGAATTGCCAAACATTAATGGTCAATGAACACATATTTTGTGTGTTACATGTATTATAAACTGTAACCTTACAATAAAGCAAGCTAGGGAAAAGAGAACATTATTAAGAAAAATAATAAGAAAGAGAAAATACATTTATAGTCAGTTCAGTCATTCAGTCCTGTCTGACTCTTTGCAACACCATGGGCTGCAGCACAGCAGGCTTCCCTGTCCATCACCAACTCCTGGAGCTTGCTCAAACTCATGTCCATTGCGTTGGTGATGCCATCCAACCATCTCATCTTCTATCATCCCCTTCTCCTCCTGCCTTCAATCTTTCCCAGCATCAGGGTCTTTTCCAATGAGCCAGTTCTTCACATCAGGTGGCCAAAGTATTGGAGTTTCAGCTTCAGCATCAGTCCTTCCAATAAATATTCAGGACTGATTTCCTTTAGGATGGACTGGTTGGATCTCCTTGTAATCCAAGAGACTCTCAAGAGTCTTCTCCAACACCAAAGTTCAAAAAGATCAGAAGATCAATTCTTCAGTGCTCAGCTTTCTTTATAGTCCAACTCTCACATCCATACATGACCACTGGAAAAAAATCATAGCTTTGGCTAGACAGACCTTTGTCAGCAAAGTAATGTCTCTGCTTTTTAATATGCTGTCTAGGTTGGTCATATCTTTTCTTCCAGGGAGCAAGCGTCTTTTAATTTCATGACTGCAGTCACCATTTGCAATGGTTTTGGAGCCCAAGAAAATAAAGTCCATCACTGTTTCCTTTGTTTCCCTATCTGTTTGCCATGAAGTAATAGGACCAGATGCCATGACCTTATTTTTCTGAATGTTGAGTTGTAAGCCAACTTTTTCACTCTCCTCTTTCACTTTCATCAAGGAGCTCTTTAGTTCTTTGCTTTCTGCCATAAGAGTGGTGTCATCTGTGTATCTGAGTTTATTGATATTTCTCCCAGCAATGTTGATTTCAGCTTGTGCTTCATCCAGCCAAGCATTTTGCATGATGTACTCCAAATATAAGTTAACTAAACAGGGTGACAATATACTCCTTTCCCAATTTGGAACCAGTACATTGTTCCATGTCTGGTTCTAACTGTTGCTTCTTGTCCTGCATGCAGATTTCTCAGGAGGCACATAAGGTTTTCTGGTATTCCCATCTCTAAGAATTTTCCACGGTTTGTTGTGAGCCACACAGTCAAAGGCTTTGGCATAGTCCATAAAGCAAAAGTAGATGTTTTTCTGGAACTCTCTTGCTTTTTCTATGATCAACGGATCAATGAATCAACATTTATAGTACTGTGCTGTATTTAGCAACACTGTTAAGTGTATGTCGTCCATTTTACAGATGAATTGTCTGTCAGTGCCTACATCAGTGTTGTCTTAAATGACGCAAAACACTGTAGATGTTACATGTGTTACTTAGACATCAAAAATAAAAAGATAATATGAAAAATTCATATTTTTTTCAGGTATAGTGATTTATATATTGTTGACAAAGAAGCAGCAAGATGATTGCTTTATAGTAGCCTTGTGTAATTGATATGATTGCTTCAGGATAGCCTAGACTATACACTAATGAATGAACTGTTATAAAATTTCAATGGCATACAGTATTATAGTCATATTCATAATGCTGTATTGGAAACATTGTTACCCTACAAAAAAGCTACTTACCTGTGATGATAGGCTGATATGCAGTTTCTTCAATTATGAGAGTGAGGCATACTGTATGATAATATATAATTCTTTGAAAGCAAAGTTATAAAACAGTAATAAAATGAATACATTATAAATTTTATATTAAATGTTTACTTATGCCTATCAAAGGAGTAGACTGTTATCTACATACATTTTATACATTCATGAAAAATCCTTTTTTTAATGTTTTGGATTTCTAGGCTATGCAGTTTTTCTGTGAATTTTTTCAAATGGTTACAAATCTCCAAAAAATGTTTCAATATATTAGTTTAAAAGAATCCATTTATAAGTAGACCTACACAGTTCAAACTCATATTGTTCAAGGGTCAATTATAAAAGCATTTCTGGAAATGACCTGCTGTATTAATCAGCTGAAGCTGCCATAACAAAATACCATAGACTGAGTGGCTTAAACAATGGAAATTTATTTCTTACAGTTCTGGAGGCTGATTCATTTCCTGGGTAAGGCTCTCTTTCAGGCTTGACTGTATCCTCACATGGTGGAGAGAAAGGGCTCTTAGGTTTCTTCCTCTTTTTGTAAGGAACCCAATCCTATCGAATGAGGACCCTACACTCCTGGACTCATTTAACCTTAATAACCTCCTAAATGTGCTATTTCCAAATGTGATCACATATTTTTAGGGTTTAGGACTTCCACAAATGACTTTTAGGAGAGGAGACACAATTCAGTCCATAACACCTCACTTTAAATTTAAATGTCTTCTATTTTACATTTGAAAAAATTAGGTCATCCTTAAAAACCTATAGGAGATTATAATGTAATAATAGAATTTTTGAAGATTATCTCAATATGTAAAAGAGCTTGTTAGCAATTGGTTCTTTTTGAGTACTAGTTTTTCAGTCTGAAAATGTGATTATTGTTATGATTTTGCTTAGGAAGATGGAAATGAAGAGTGAAAATAGATGGCATATGGTGTTTTTTTTAACCTTAATTAAAATATCATCACTCTTTTTAACACAGCTCATTAATATACATCTTCATACATTTGCCAATATTTTTATGCTATCCTCTCTTAGTTTGAATTTTCCTGGTTTTCAGGACCTTTTGGCTGTTGGCTATGGACACTTTGGATTTAAGGAGCAAAAAAGAGGATTGGCCTGCTGCTGGTCAATAAAGAACCCCATGGTAACTTGAGCAGGAATAAGATCTATTTTTATTTAATTAAATGTTGACATAATTCTCATAAAGTAGTAGATAGTTGTATTTGATAATTAAGCAAAGTCAAGGAAGTTTTATCATGCAGGACTTTATTTTCTTCGGCTTAAATCTGTAACAATTAAATAATTAAAACTTATTCTGATACTTTATAGGATAAAGTAAATTCACTACTGTGTGCTGTTAGATCTGATGATCCAAGGCCGAACCATTATTGTATATCACTGCCTGTTATAAAGAAAAATATTTTGCAAATGCAAACTTTAAAAATAGTTTCATTTACTATTGGATTGTTTTTCCATATATGAAAAACTCATCACTTTATAAGATAGATTTCTGTTATCCTCAATAGATGTAAAATAGATTCATATAATATCTTACTGTTATGAATTTAAAAAAAAAATGAACAAGAATCAGTTATGTTTTTTGCTAAATAGCTCTAGTCAATCTGTCACTTACAGGTTTACCTTTAGTTCTTTTTTTTTGTTCCTTTGGTTTTTTTTGTTTGTTTGTTTTTATCGCACCATGCGGGATCTTAAGTATCCTGACCAGGGATCGAACCTGCATCCTTTGCAGTGGAAGCAGAGTTAACCACTGGACTGCCAGCGAAGTCCTTTTACCCTTAGTCTTACTTTACAACAGAAATGTAAAGTGGACTACTTTAAAAAGATCAGAAAGGCATACAAAAATAATTGGAATTCTTATAAATAACCCTCGTTTGTTAGGAAGCTGGGTTTATATAGCCTAAAAGAAAGGAAGAAGCAATTTTAAACATGTGGAAGGATTGACAGGATTCATCAACAGCAAGTTGTCTTCTTTTCCATGTAGGTTGTTAGAACCAAGAAAGGCTTTGAATTGGACATTCAAACAAAACAATAAAACTCTTGACAGAGTTGTAGAAAAGAGTAACTTGGAAAGTTTTAGAGCTTCTTCTATCCTTATTTAGAAATGATTAGATAATACAAGCATTAGAAACAGATACTGGGAGGTAGGAATATATGCAGGATAATTTATTTGGTGGCTGTTATTTGTATTTTCAAGAATGTAGACCTGTGATGGAAAATCCTATTGGAAGATTACCCCAAATGATAATTACTATAGAGCTACATGCTGTATTTTGCAAAATTACTGAGCTCTGAGGATTCATCAAAATAAAGGAAATGACTGATTGAGGTTTTGTTCTCATGTATACAGGAAGTTAGGAGTAACTGAATGCAGGTTAACTCTCCTCACATCCCCACTGCCATCAGCCTAGTCTTTAGTCACTATCATACCCTCCTGTACTGTGGTTTATAAAACCAAGTTTAAATTGTAATGTAATATATTTTTTTTATTCAGTGGCCAGAGCGTACTTATCAGAGTCCCTGTGGAGTTACTGCTGTGGATTTTTCAATCGGCTCACCTAACCTTTTAGCAGTTGGCTATCACAATGGCACTATTGCAATTTATAATGTACAGAACAACAGTAACCTTCCAGTTCTGGATAGTAGGTGAGAAAATCCAAGAATTAGATAAATATATAACATGTACTTTTTTTGGGGAGAAGAAAAAATTTATGTTATTTAGTTTTGAGTGAATGTTTATACTGTTATTGAGAGTGATACCATTATCTTTCAAACATTTGATAATTCCTCATAACATCTCTCCAGCTGGAATGCTCTGCTTTAACATCTCTTTATCATCTTTTCTGCCTGCTCACCAACAAACTTCTTTTGGTGTATGCTGCTGCTTTTTAAAAAGCTAAAATTTTTTCCAGCTTTATTGAGGTATAGTTGACAAATAAAAATTGAGTTTATTTAGGTTGTACAACATGATTAAGTGTACAATGTGATGATTTAATATATGTATACATTGTGAAATGATTAGTGGAATCAAATTAATTAATGCATCTATAATCTCACATATCTGGAGAAGGAAATGGCAATCCACTCCATTATTCTTCCTGGAAAATCCCAGGGACAGAGGAGCTTGGTCGGCCACAGTCTGTTTCATCACAAAGTGTCAGCCATGACTTAGTGACTAAACAACAACCACCTCACATAGTTACCATATTTTTTTGTGTGTGGTGAGAACACTTAAGATCTACTCTTTTAGCAAATTTCATGTATGCAGCATAGTGTTATTAACTGTAATCACCATGATGTACATTAGATTTCAAGAACTTTCATCTTATAAATGAAAGAAATAATTAATATGATATATTGAGAAAATAAAAAAGTTTAAGGTGAAAGAGATCGAAAGATACCTCAAATTTTTATAATAAACCTGATACTAGTGGAGCAAAAATGAGGTTATATATTCATATTAGTGTTTGAATAAACTTCAGAACGACATGACTCAAACGACTTAGCAGCAGCAGCAAACTTCAAAAGAACTGGAAATAGGCTTTAAATCACGTGTTTTTTAGGTTAATTTTGAAAATATTTGCATAGTTTTGTAAGTGTGAGCCTTGTGTTCATTTCCGGGCAGGAGATTTGTAACTTTTACCAAATAATCAAATATATCTAGATTTAAAAGTATTCAGCACTATTGCTTTGGAGGATTCACATAAAAAATCACGAGAGTCAGTACTAAGAACAAAGCAACCCATTAATCAGACCGAAAAGTAGTAATCTGAGAAGTGATTTTAATTTTTCATAAAAATTTTAAATCTCAGCCTTAGAGAGAATCAAGCCAGTGGACAATGCTGAAATATAAGAAGAAGGGTGAAGTAACTATTTATTCAAATAGGACTTAAATGACTTACTTATTTAAACTATGAGAAATATCCTTGGAAAAATGGAGATACTTATATTCAGTGTATCTAAATAAACTAAATTTACACAACTAGGAAAAAGTAAGTGAATAGAGTAAAAGGAGTAGATTCTTAAAAGAAAGAAATATTTGCTTTTATATTCCTTTTATGATAGCAATAAAATTTTCTTTTTTGTAAGAAATGAGAAAAATATCAGTGAATATTAGAAAAGTGGTTTTTTTTCCCCTGATTTTCAAAATATTTAAAGTTGAAGTCCAGTTCAGAACAATAAAAGCATCATTCTATAAGTAAGTCATGATGCTTTAGGGAGTTGTCCTTATCACTTAGTATTACAAGTCTTTTTAAAAATTATAATTTTCTACTAGTGATTTTCCTTGTTTTAGTGAATCACCTCAAAAACACTTGGGACCTGTATGGCAACTGCAGTGGATAGAACAAGATCGAGGGACAACAGGTGATGACAAAAGAGAAATACTAGTTTCTATATCAGCGGATGGAAGAATCTCTAAATGGGTTATACGGAAAGGACTGGACTGTCATGGTAAAAATAAATAAATACACTCACACACTCTCTCTCTCTCTCACACACCCACCCACCCACCTGCCCCCCCCCCCAAATTATCTTTCTCTTGTTATGTGCTGAATTAAAAATTCCTAGTGAACAATGTATAAAAGTTAGTAAATTTAGGTTTGACTAAATAAGAGAAAAACTGGGCTTGATCATTTTACTAAGCATCTAACTCTGGTATTTGCTTATTTTAACCTAATGACATGCAAAGAACGGCAGAACTCATTTTATTTGCAGAAGGGACATATTATATCTACAATACTTTTTCATGTGGTAGAAAGGTATCTATTTTTTCTTTAAAGATTTGATGCGCTTGAGGCGAACGACTGCTAGCACCAGCAAAAAAGGAGGGGAAAAGGAAAAGAAAGGTGAAGCTTTGATATCTCGACAGGCTCCTGGAATGTGTTTTGCTTTTCATCCCAAGGTAAATTATTTCAATACAACTTCTAATCATTGAAGTGTATTAAGGTATAAGACTAGGTCCTTCCCTGGCAGTCCAGTGGTTGAGATGTCACTGTCCAAGCCAGGAGGTGCAGATTCAGTCCCTGGTCAGGGGGCTAAGATCACACATGTCTCGTGGCCAAAAACAAAGACAAAAGGTTACCATGTTAATAAATATTGTGCCTGTAAGCAGAAAACTAACAAACTTAGGTATCAGCCTAAGGTGAAATGGCACTTTCCAGTTGGCTGTCCTTCATCTGCATTTTAGAGGAAAGGTCTGTATTTCTGAGCAACAATAGAAGGATTACCTACTCAACTGCTCATTTTAACTTGAATGCCCCACCTTGTCCCTCTTGGGTGCTCTCCTGCTCTATCATAGTGACAGAAACCAAATCCACTATATAGTCTTCCATATCTCACTGTGAGTGGTGACTCTCATTATTCTGGGGATTGGGAAGACCACTTCAGACTATGCCTATCAAGACCAAAATGAAATCAGAGGACTGTTAGTAAAGTTCTGCTTTTCTAATTCTTCTTGCCTGGAGGCCCTTTGGAATCAGAAAATTCAGCCACTGTGACTCTTACAAGAAAACATTCCCTATATATTTTCTATTACATGTAATATGATCATCTCTTTAGTGATACCATTATTGACCTACTTATGCAAACCAAAACTTGAGTTCTTATTCTATTCTACTCTATCACCCAGATGATATTTAGGTTTTATCATCCTACTTCTTTTAGTCCAAGCCTACTATTCATATAGTTCAGGCTTTTATTATTTTTCACTTTGATCACTGTGTATGTGGTCACTCAGTGTATCTAACTCTCTGTGACCCCATGGACTGTAGCCTGCTAGGCTCCTCTGTCCCTGGGGCTCCCCATGCAAGAACACTGGGGTGGGTAGCCAGTCCCTTCTCCAGGGGATCTTTCCTGACCCAGGGATGAAACCCTGGTCTCCTGTATTGCAAGCAGATTCTTTACCTCTGAGTCTTTATCGCTTCAGTCATATTCTCACTGCATTTATTCTCACATTCCTATAATCTGCTTGTCACCTTGACTCTAGAAGAGTGGTTCTCAGTGTGGGCAGGGAGGGGAGTACTTTCCACCAGGGGCATTTCACAATGTCTTCTTCAGATATTTTTGGTTGTTGCAGCTATGGGAGGTGGGATGTTGGGAGGAGAGTTATATCCAGTGGGCAGAGTCCAGGGATGCTGCTAAACACTCTACAATGCACAAGACAACCACCGCTCCTCTCCCCACACAAAGAATTCGCTGGCTCAAAACATCAGTATTGCTCCTCTGATTTCATCTTTGACTGATAAAGCATGTTATTTAGTCTCCAAATAGTCAAGGCTTTTCTAAGGATCTTTCTGTTGGTTTCTAATTCAATTCCATCATGATCAGAGAACAAACTTTTTATAAACTGAATCCTTTTGAATTTATTGAGATTTGTTTCAGAGCCTAGAATGTGATGTTTACTTGTAAATATTCCCTGTGCATTTGAGAAAAGTGTATATTCTGCTACTGTTGGGTGAAATGTTCTATGAATATCAATCAGGTTAAGTTGGTTGATGATATTGTTCAAGTTCACTATATCCTTCCTAATTTTCTGCCTGTTTCTTCCATGATTTATTGACAGAAAGGTATTGAAGTGTGTGACCATAATTGTGAATTTGTCTTTTCTCCCTTTGAAATTCTACCAATTTTTTCTTTATGTGTCTTGAAGCTTTAAGTACATAAGTGATTAGAATTGTCATGTTCTCTTGATTAATCAATTCCCTTATTATACAATGACCTTATTTATAGCTGGTAACATTCTCTACTCTGAAATCTACTTAGTCTGACATTAATGTAGCCACTACACCTTTCTTTTAACTAATATTAGCACAGTTTATCATTTTACATTCTTTCACATTTAACCTATTTATGTCTTTATATTTAAAGTATGTTTCTTATAGGCAGCATATAGTTGAATTTTGCTTTTTTATCCAGTCCTAAAGTCTCTGATTTTTGTGATATTTACACAATTTACCTTTAGTTTGATTGGTTTGAGTCTGTCATCATTCTTGACTGATTTATGTTTAGGAAGAGGTGCGAAACATATGTGACCCCTTGGTCTGGAGGTAGGACTCTGAAGGGCCATCTCAGCTCCAAAGCAGTCTGTTGCTGCTACATCATAGCTTAGCTTAAATCTCTACCTGTTCCTGTTTCCCTCAAAGAGATTGTTTCTGAGAGAACTTCCCAATAAACCTCTTGCATGGAAATCTCAGCCTCAGGTTTACATACTGAGGAACCCAACTTTAGACAGTGACCTTGAGGAGCTCTAGAGAAAGACGTTTATCTGTGTACTGAGTTATTTCAGTCGTGTCCAGCTCTTTGTGACACTATGGACTGTAGCCCACCAGGCTCCTATGTCCACGGGATTCTCCAGGCAAGAATACTGGAGTGGTTTGCCATGCCATCCCCCAGGGGATTATCCCAACCCAGGGATTGAACCCATATCTCTTGTGTCTCCTGCATTGGCAGGCAGGTTCTTTACCACTGAGCCATCAGGGAAGCCCAGAGAAAGATGACCTACTTATAAATACTACTGAGATTATCATTGTTCATATATAAAAAAGGAATTAGATCCCTACCCCTTTATATGCAAAAACTTTTAGAAGAAAATATGGGAGAATATCTCTATGACTTAAAAGTAGGAACAGTTTCTTAAAGCACAAAACCCTAATTATGTAAAATATATAATACCAGCTACATTAAAATGAGAACTTTTATTTACTAAATGACACTAAGAGTTTGTAAAAAAAAAAATAAGCTGTATGCTGGGAGAAGATTTTTGCAACCTAATAATAGACAAAGCATATGTAATAGAATATATTAGGAACGTATTCAAATGAATATGAAAAAGAAAGATCATTAGTAAAATGGTCAAGAAATCTGAATGGAAGAGGAGATTCAATTGGCCAATAAACATAAAAATGTGCTCAACTTTGTTAATATCCACATAAATGAAACTTAAAACCATTCAGTGTAAGTTAATACCTAATAGAATGGCAAAATCTAAGATTTCTGATGTAACCAAGCTGTTGAAAAGAATGTGTGTCAAAAGGAACTTTTATATTCTGCTGAGTGTAAATTGATAATACTACTTTGGGGGGGGGGATGGACTTTATTTTGTAATTTAAACTACATAGACCCCCATGATCTAGTAATTGCATTCTTAAGTACTGATGTATGCTAGAGCAATGTGTCTCAGATTTCAGGGAAATCTTGTTAAAATGATTCTGACTCAGCAGGTCTGGGGAAGGGCCTGACATTCTGCAGTTCTATAATACTACCAGGTGGTGCTGACTTGACATAGCTCCACATAGAGCCCTGACTTTCAGACTTTCTGACTATAACTTCAGTATAGAAAACACATTTTAAATCCCTATTTGGTAATACATCTGAGATGTCCGAGACTCCGTCTAGTTTAATCTCTCATTCTCAGCAAGAATCGTGTTATTGTTGTCATCTGTCTTCTCTCTGACTAATTCTAGTGAAATAATACTGTTTCCGTGGATTGTTAATTCTCTTGTCAGGTATCTCTAAATGTTAGAAAGTTTCTTCCTTATTTTAAGTGAATGTTTGTCCATGTAATTTCTAGATAGGGTACTAAGTTCTACACTCTATTTTAGCAAAGAAAAGAATCTGTATTTTCTTTGCACAGCCATCCTTCAGGGAGTTTAATTATTATAAAATCATGATCTAAGAAAAAGACAACAGTTGTCTACAAGATAGTATTTCTAGTTTTAGTTCTTGAACTTGTTTTAAGAAATCTTGAGTTCTGTCTTCTATTTAGCACATTTACTAATACATCACAAGTTAATGCATTTTGACTTTTTGTGTTTAGGACACAAATATCTATTTGGCTGGTACTGAAGAAGGTCATATTCACAAGTGTTCCTGTTCATATAACGAACAATATCTAGATACCTACAGAGGACATAAGGTTAGTTTTAATTACAGTAGGTATGGAAAATTTTATCTTATTATATTTCTGAAAAAAACAGTATCATTAGACACAGTATTTTTATGCAATAATTTATACCTTTGGATTTAAAAATACAAGCTTAAATTTGTATATAAAACACCCATAGTATGTGGGGCTTTTAATTTGGCTTCTAGATATCCTTGATTTCTTTTCATAAGTTATTAGGCCACAATTTTTGCTTCTAAAAGACTGCTGATTTAACATGCTGATCTCAAAGTAAAACTGTCTCTGGCATATATGTATTCCCTACATTTTTAAATGATAGTTCCTACCATGTTTTCTCCCTTATTTTTGTTTATTTTTCTTAATATTCCTAAATATTTTTAAATACTATAGTATATGTTAATATTTAGTAAGTACAGTAGCAAATATATTTGTATGCTTCTGTATGTCATAATTTAGGGAAGAGATTCAACTTTGACCTAGTATTCATAGCTAAGATAATACTTACACAGTAATGTATGGTGTATAAAGCTTTTAGAAATCTGAGCATTTTAAGTTTGTTGGTCAAATTTAAAGTATAAGACATTAAATACTACTTACTATGTATTTTAATTTATTTTTCTAATCCTAGGGACCAGTGTATAAAATAGCATGGAACCCATTTTGCCATGATGTTTTCTTAAGCTGTTCTGCAGATTGGGGTGTTATTATATGGCAACATGAGAATCTCAAACCATTTTTGAGTTTTTATCCAACTACTTATGTTGTTTATGATATTGCCTGGTCTCCAAAATCATCCTACATATTTGCAGCTGCAAATGAGAGCAGAGTGGAGATTTGGGACCTTCACATCAGCACGTAAATATTAACATTTTTCTTGAAGATAATTGTAGATAATAAAAGTAGAAGATAATTGCAGTTCCATCTAAATGGTGCCTGGTGGTTTTGACATTGGTTAGAGAGAACTATAGTTACTTTAAAACAAGTAATAGTTCACTCTGTGGGAGTCCTTTGTGAATAAAGTGATGTGCCAGGATAATATATTAATTACCTATATTATATGTATTAATAGTTTTAAAATATTTGAATGAAATAGGTTACTCTATCTCCTCAATTTTAAAAAATATTTATTTATTTATTTGGCTGCATCAGGTGTTAGTTGTGGCATGTAAGATCTTTTAGTTGTGACATGCAAACTCTTAGTTGCGGTATGTGGGATCTAGTTCCCTGACCAAGGATTGAACCCAGATCCTCTGCATTGGGAGCGTGGAGTCTTAGCTACTGAAACACCACGGTAGTTCCTCATCAAATTTTTATAGACTGATATAGGATATCATAACTACCTTGAATTCTTTGTCATTGTCTGGTTTATGGAAGAATGCAGAGAGGCACTTTTCTAATTGTTCTTAACTGAAGACCTTTTTTATTAGTAAGATAAAGAAAGGGAGCAAAATAAGTATTTTTTTAATGATATTTACTTATTCTCTTACTTCATTTTAAAACATATTTGAAGAAACATGCATTTAATTAAAAATTTTTTAAGTGTTACATCAAAGTTATTAGAGGGCCATAGACCATCCTTTTTAGTATGAAAGTTTATACAGTGCTGAAATTGTTTTTAATGATTCTACTTCTTCAATCATTATTTCAATATTAGAAAATATTGTAGACCTTTAGGCAAGTTATTAAGGAGGATAAGCATAGAAATACATTCTTATTTGAAATAAATGATATAAAATTCAATGGGTTTATTAATAATCACAAATTTTTTCCTAAAGATTAATAGTTTAGTAACTTTAAAATTTTGTCACGACTTATTCTATAAAACAATTTGAACCAAAAACTCAAGGAGTACAACACAAAACAATTTATTTTTGAGTATGAGATGACTAACATAGAAAGTGGTTACTTATATGAGTGTCATCTCTGATTTTTTTTTTCCTAGTAAAATTGTAGTTACCAGGCAAAATTTCTTCAGAAGAGATATGCAAGTTACTGCTTCTTTTATAAGAATGTCAATGGATTGCTTTGGATGAGCAATAGTAGAGAAGGTTCTTGTTTAGAGAACCTTGGAACAAGGTTCTAAATCTTGTTCATATTCACTTCTGGTTCAGGGATTCATTTGGATCAAAACATCCTTCCCTTAAAAGACATTTATTATTTAACAAGTTGTACTAGGGATCCTCAGAGAAACTGAACCAATAAAATAGAGATGGTGGGAGGAAGGGAGAGAGAAAGAGACAGAGAGATTTAAAAATATTGGCTCATGTGATTGTGGGGCCTGGCAATTCCCAAGTTTGCTTGACAGGGTAGCAATCTGGACTTTCCATCAGGGGAGTCCATGTTTCAGTCTTGAGTGCAAAGGCAGTATAGAGGCAGAAATTTATTCTTCTTTGAGGACCTCAGTCTTTTCTTTTAAGGCTTTCAACAAATTAGATGAGGCCAACTCACTTTGTGGAGGATAATTTGCTTTATTCAAATTCTACTGATTTAAGTTAATCATATCATACCTTCACAGCAATGTGTAGACTGGTGTTTGACTAAACAACTGAAAACCACAGCCTAGCCAAGTTGATGCATAAAATTAATCATCACAGGAGTTTAAAGTATCAGTTCACATCTTAATTGTGAATACTTTAATTTATTTAGTTGAAATTAGTTGATTGAAAGAATGAAAGCTTTGATTGAATAAAAGGTGAGAAGTAGTTATTTTGCTTTTGGAAACACATAAAGACGCTTTTGGTTTTTGTTACATGAAATCACACATATCTCAGACTTTTCTTAGTCTGTATGTAAAGAAAACATATTAACAATAACTAAATTTACAAATATAGTATTTCATTACAGTTTGGACCCTCTGATTGTCCATGTTGCTAACCCTGGAATCAAGTTCACAACTGTTCTTTTTGCTAAGCAAACAGATTGCCTTCTGGTGGGAGATAGTGATGGACAAGTTGCTGTATATGAATTAAAAAATATGCCCACTACTTTGGACTCTAACAGGGTAAGACTTGAAAGTCAAAATCTTATGTCATTTTATGATTTTATTCAGCTATAGTTTTGCGTCATACAAGAGATTTACATTTCTCAAATATCTGAATTGTGGCACAGTGGAAAGATACATATAAGTCCCAAGAGTGGCATGGTGCCTAGTAGGCTTATTTTACTTGAGCCTCACAGTCTTCATCTGTTAAATGAAAATATTGTTCTTTATTTTTAAAAGTAAATAATGTTGTTGAGCAGAATAATTATAAATATTATATGAAATAATTTAAAACTGCCCCTAGTTTATGGTTGTGACTGTTCTCTGCAAATATTCAAAGACTTTTACAAGATATATTTTTATTTATTTATTTTTGTCAGAAAAGTAGAATTTATGGGTAAGCATGAGTAAGGAGGGGCAGCACCAAGGCTCTCATGAGTGCAGGACCCATTTGTCAGAAGGCCACGATTAGGGATATATTTGACCCTACAGCCATCTAGGATGAGCCGCTTTTCAACCATCATGTTTTCAAATTCACCTGCATTAAACTTAGTAAATCCCCACTTCTTGGAGATACGGATTGTCTGGTGGCCAGGGAACTTGAACTTGGCTCTGAGGAGGGCCTCAATCACAGGTTTATTGTTCTGCTGCTAGGTGTGGATGGCCATTGTGACTCTGGCCACTGTTCCCTGGGACTTTCCAAAGGCAATGAGCATACCTGTCTGGAGCCTAGACAGAACAGCATGCCAGTCATGAAGGTCCACTAGAAAGAGTTGTCTCCCCCGCCTCTTAGGGCAGCCTGTACAGGCCATAGCCAGGGAGGCTGCTGTTTGCAGCCGTTGCACACTGGGCCCCTCTGAGGAAGAGTGCAGTCAGCCTAAGTGGCTGCAAAAATAAATAATATTTTATTTTTAAATCTTTTTGGAAACAATATTTTTAGATGTTATCTACTGTTCCTAAGGTTGCTATTTGTTTCTACTGGTTTGACATTATCCTCTTCCCTAACTCTGATCTTCAGATATCAAAGCTTTGTTCTAAAACTTTGATAAGTAAATCAGCATCACTAGATGCCCACTATTTTTAATATTATATATTTATTTTTTTGCTTATTTGTTGTTTAAAAGTTTTTTAAATTGAAATAAAGTTGATTTATAGTGTTAAATCACATAGAGGTTTGGTGTTTTTATATATTATACTTAATTTAAAATTATTATAAAATATTGGGTATATTCCCTGTGCTATACATTATATCCTTGTATCTTATTTATTTTATACCTAGTAATTTATACCTCGTAATCCCCTTCCCTTATCTTGCTACCCTCTCCTCCCCTCCCCCACTGGTAACCACTAATTTGTTCTCTGTATCTGTGAGTCTTGTTTCTATTTTGTTACATTAATTCGTTCATCTTATTTTTTAGATTCCACATATATGTGAAAACATATAGTATTTATCTTTCTCTGACTGACTTCACTAAGCATGCTGCTAAGCATAATACCCTCCAAATCCATCCATGTTGTTGCAAATGGCAGAATTTCATTTTCTTAAAATTCCTGGGTAATATTCCACTATATATATATATATATATACACACACACACACACATATATATACACACTATATAGATGTCCATTATTTTCAAGATAGCTTTTCAGTATTTTTCTGTTTATGTTTAGATTTCTAGTTTAAGGAATGATCTGGTAAATATAACCATGAATATATTAACATGTTAACAATATTAAAAATATGCATGAATCAATAAGAAAAAACACTAAGACTCCAATAGAAGGGTGAGTAAGGTCAGGAATAGTTCATTCACAAAATATGGCTGGTAAATATATTTTAAAATTTAACCTCATTAACAAAAAATATTTCATTAAGTTAAATGAAAAGCATTCATTTTATAAAATTCTCATATATCAGATTAACAAAAATTCTTTTAATTGGCCTACTTATTCAGTTCAGTTCAGTTCAGTTCAGTCGCTCAGTCATGGCCGACTCTTTGTGACCCCATGAATCGCAGCACGCCAGGCCTTCCTGTCCATCACCAACTCCCAGAGTTTACTCAAACTCATGCCCATCGAGTCGGTGATGCCATCCAGCCATCTCATCCTCTGTTGTCCCCTTCTCCTCCTGCCCCCAATCCCTCCTGGCATCAGGGTCTTTTCCAATGAGTCAACTCTTTGCATGAGGTGGCCAAAGTACTGGAGTTTCAGCTTCAGCATCAGTCCTTCCAATGAACACCCAGGACTGATCTCCTTCAGGATGGACTGGTTAGATCTCCTTGCAGTCCAAGGGACTCTCAAGAGTCTTCTCCAATACCACAGTTCAATAGCATCAATTTTTCAGCACTCAGCTTTCTTCACAGTCCAACTCTCACATCCATACATGACCACTGGCCTACTTATTACTGACAGACATTTGGTAAGATAGGTCCTTTCTTATACTGACAGTTGAAATAAAAGTTAGTGTCAGTTCTTTGGGAGCAATTTGGCAATCTGAACCGGAATTGTTGACTTTTGGAACTCTGTCTTACAGAAATATTCATAAAGGCAATCTAAGAAATTATGTTTTGTGATAGGATGAGACAAAAGAGAAAAGGAAAGAAAAAAAGGAAAAGGAACCAATCTAAATATCCAACCAGAGGGAAATATGACTAAGCAAGTCAGAAGTGCTGATTAGATTTGGGTTACATGTAAGAGGTGGAGTTTTGCCCCAACCATATGGACTATGTTTGTTAAACAAACAAACAAACAGAAAATACTTACATACATACTGGCTTGCTTGGTACTTTGTACACGGTTTGGTTCTCTACCCACTTCAACTCTTTGCTCAAATGTCAATTTCTTAGTGAAGTCTTCCCTGGCCACCTTATTTAAAATTGCAGCCTCTACCCTCCCCCACACTCCCTGTTCAATACTCCTCCATGACTAATGTTCTTAATAACACTTATCTTTGTTATCTTTGTGAGTGTGTGTGTGTGTGTGTTTGCATGCACGCGTGCACATGCGCTCAGTCACTCAGTGGTGATGTCCTACTCTTTGACACCCCAGGGACTGTAGACCGAAAGGCTCCTCTGTGTATGGGATTTCCCAGGGAAGAATACTGGAATTTTGATTGATTTATTTTGTTAATTGCCCATCTCCCACAGCTAGATTATAAGCTTTACATAAACATTGAATTTGTCTCTATTGTTCTGGCTATGTCCCTATGGCTTAGTACAGTGTCTGGCTTATAGTAGTTATCAATAAGTGTTTTTTTTAATAAATATGCATTGAAAAGCTAGAGAAAAAAATCACATATTAGAAGCATTGTTTCTTAGAGGTAGGATCATAAGTGAATTTTAGTCTTATACTTATCTGTTTTATAAGTCATTATAGTACACCGAGTAATTGTTTAAATGCATTGGTCTCCTTACAAAATAGTTTTAGTGTGCTCTGAGGAATGCATCTCTAATGCCTTATTTTTTCCATGATATAAACTATTTTAATATTTTCATTTTCTCACACATTCACTGAGTATAAGACATTTTAACAGGATGGGGATGTTTGTGCTTATAGTGAACCTTGGTTAAGATATACAGCTCAACAGCCAAAAGAAATTAAAAGAGAATTCTATTCTTTATTTAAGTATTTCAAAGAAACATTAAAATGAATCCAAATATATAGTTCATAGTATTCCTTTTGCTTCTTCCACCCATAGCTCTCAAATCTTAAATATAAACTCAAGGTCTGAATCCATCATTTTTTGTTTCTGTAATTCTTTCAGTGCTAAGAACTTGTCCACAAGCTCTGAACTGGGGGCAGTGGGGAAGGGGGTCTTGAATTTTTTCAAAATTTTTATTAGTATTTGTTGGTGTAGTGGTTGGAGGGAAATCTGTAAGCATTAGCATGTTGATTCTTTTCATCACATATATTTTTATCTAGTACCTATCAAATGCTACAATGATTTGTCAATATAAATTATAATATTTTGTATACATGTCTTTCTTACTAATTTGAGCTGTTTGAAATTTGTATATTCAAGTATCTAGCATAGCACCACATAATAGACATTGAGCAAATGTTGAATAGATGTGTGAATGAACAAACCTACAGAAAAAGGCATATGGTTTCTAAGAAAGAAACAACATATGCTTAAGAAACACAATCGGGTCATAAAGAACAAAATAAGAAACTCCTATAGAGTTGGACACGACTGAAGTGACTTAGCAGCATAGGAACAAAGAGCAGGAAAATAGTTGACTTTTGAAAGGAGAATAGGAAGAAGAAAAAGGAAAAAATAAGAATGCGTTGGGGAAGGGTTTCACACAGGAGACTGAATTTCAACAATGTTTTGGAGGATCAGGATTTTTCCTGTAGACAAGAGAGTAGAACGTTATTCCAGACTGAGAGAAAGGCTTGAACAAAAATATCGAATTGAAGAGGTCCCTGGCGTGCTGCACTCCATGAGGTTGCAAGGAGTTGGACAGGACTGAGCGACTGAACTGAACTGAACTTGGCATTTTAAAGACATCACGAGTAGACTTTTTGACTGGTAAAGAGATCGCTTGAAAAAAGAGCAACAAAAGGACCAGTTAGGCCATTTAGGACCAGAAAATGTATGACTGCCAAGATGAGGAATTTGATCTTTATTACATAGGTTACCAGGGCTTCCCTGATAGCTCAGTTGGTAAAGAATCCACCTGCAATGTAGGGGACCGTGGTCTGATTCCGGTTCACTTCCTGGATCGGGAAGATCTGCTGGAGGAGGGATAGGCTACCCACTCCAGTATCCTTGGGCTTTCCTTGTGGCTCAGCTGATAGAGAATTCACCTGCAATGCCAGACACCTGGGTTTGATCCCTGGGTTGGGAAGATCCCCTGGAGAAGGGAAAGGCTACCCACTCCAGTATTCTGGCCTGGAGAATTCCATGAACTGTATAGTCCATGGGATGAGAAAGAGTCTGACAGGACTGAGCGACTTTCACTTTCATACAGATTACTAAAAGCTACTTAAGGTTTACAATTCCAGAAGTGACAAAG